CTCTCTCGATCTGCCTCGTCCATCCGGCCCCCGAAATAAATCCATCCTCGAAGAGATCGTGGCACGGCGTGTCGCGATCAGGAGAAACACGGTGTCTAGCCGTGCCAGCGAAAGGGAGAGGTAACGGCCGAGGTAACGTCAGTAGGTTTACAGGCTGAACGTAAACGGGCTTGTTAGAACGGCTGGATGGGTTCGAAGGTTTTCACAGGTCTCTCACAAGGGGGGGGAGGGAGAGACGGCAGAGGTGGTTAGAGGGAGAAAAGGAAGCAGGGGATTCCAGCCGGGGACATGAGGGACAGTTCACCGGCTTTACCCGGCGGCAGTCCCCAGAGGTGGCAGCCCCCGTTGCAAGCTGAACCTAGTCTGTGGTTGCTGGCTTGTTAGATCCAGTTTGGGGTTGCTACGGTCTGAAGAGGGGGGGGGGGGGATCGGGTTTGGAGGAGGAGGTTGGCCGGTGGAGGGCGCCACTCTTCAGTAGACCGCAATCGGGTATGCAATTTACGTGGTGTCCGACCTCTGCGACCTCTGGCCTCATCCCCTTTTACTGCCCGCGCTCACGTCCCAGCGTCCTCGCGCCCATCCAGCTTCACGTCCAAGCTACTCCTTCCACCGCCTCGTTTCTTCCGAGGCCGAGCCAGCAATCGGTCAATTTGATTCCGTTTCGAATTAAAGCAGGATTTAATCGAATATTTTGATTTGGTTGCGCGTGAATCCTCTAAGAGAATTCAATCCCCTGAATGACGTACTTGTCGGACGCAATGCGGCTCGGTCTGCAAGTTAATGACGATGACGATAATCGGCAATAATCGTCTATGAATTCAGGGGAGCTTGCAATTTTTCGACTTGACGCGAGGCCTGTTCCACAGTTTCTTGAAGTACGAGTAATCTCGAAAGTCGTGGAAAGATATCTGCGTATTTCGTTCGACACTGAACCACAGTGTGTCGGAAGATTGTCGCGGCTGAATATTGGCGGCTACGGGGACGATTAGTCGGGGCCGAGAAGTGTGAGAAGAGTGAGAAGAGAAGGGTGAGAAAGGCGCGCGGATATGGCGGAAGAACGAAAGCCCGATGACTGTCGCGAACAGAAGCGAGCTTCTTGGTTAGGATGGAACCTCTGGTTTTCTTCGAACGTAAGATTTCTCATGGTCGTCTACACCATCGACGCTTTTACCGAGCGCCGGTAATGACGCGCAGGAAATTGGAAGTTGAGGAGGATTGAAATTGGTCGGGCATACGAACTAACAATTTGTCGGAGATCAGGACGAAATGTTTCCCGTTAACGTGACCGATTTCGTTCGTTCGTTCGGTCTTTCTTCGTTTCACCGTAGACTGGTCTTCATTTCCTTCGAAATGGAACCGTGAAATAAAACCCAACTTGAACGAAGTCAAGCGAGAGGAAATGGCCAGCTACTGTGTGTCTTTTTCCACAACGAGCGCAGTGCAAGTTCCGTTTCATCGATCATTTTATTATTCCAGTTTTAAATCGATCTTCAGATCAATTTCTTTACCAAAAGAAAGTCGCAGTTCCCAAATTATTGAAGATTGATTACAATCAGTCACCGTGCAGTCGGTGCAATTTCACTCGCCTCAGTGTGTCACAATTCTCGAATTATCTCCCTGTTTTTTTTTCTTTTTTTTTTTTTCTTTAAAATTTACGTAACACGTTGTAATTTTTCCAACTTAAAATTCACCGGGCGAACGTTCGCGAGATCAGTGCGGAAATAGATTTTTGTCACGCGTGAATTCATCTTCCGTACGTCGATCCGATAGGGCGGGGCAACGTTAGCCCCGACGATATAACCGAATTCTCGACGATTAAATGCAAGCGGTTGCGATAAGGCTTGTAAATTGAGCGAATTATGCCGTTGGTGCCGGTACACGGCGTAGCCTCGACCGATTAACATGCGCATTACGCGAGGTTGCAACCGCTCAACCTGACATTTGCATTGGAACGTGTCGAACAACCTGAGACCTCTATAACACCTGCTGCCACGGA